ATACTCTTACCCCCACCACATTCCATAGAATGTCAAAAGGTTTATACATATAAAAGAATATGTATATACTCTATAGTTTATACATACAGTTATGTACTATCTAAATCTAATTATTCTACTTTAAGCAACTTCTGTGCATTTATAAAACATGCTACATACTGAATTCTATATTAAGCTGGAAAATATACTTATATTAAAAGATTAGCACTTATATATTACTTGTAAAATATTATTATGTATTAAATGTATTAAAATGATAAAATAGTATGAAACAATTACTTATCCCATGATAAGATAAGTAATTATTAGAAATGTCATGACTATATCTACTATTTTCTGAAATATTTCCCATAAATTATTACCTATGGGAAAATTGTATGAGTACCTTACAATATTGAAACATGTTCAAATTCATTATTAAAATTCCTTAAGAACTTTCATAAAAACATTGCTGATGCTTTCCCCTAGCGTATTTTGTTAAGTGTCCTATCTTACACAATGCAGTCTAATCAAAATGTCCTTAAGTAATATTCTTATTTTCTACGTAAAACGTCTTGGAAGATACGTAATGGAGTGCTGCTTAATATCAGTATTCTGATATTCAAAACGAAATATAATTATACTCCCTTTTATGAATGTATTCAAGTCAGGCACGAATAAAACGTCGTAATGTAGCTCGAGCACTACGAGCCCAGCCTTTACGTATAGACAAATTATTTGGCAATGTTTCGATGTTTAACGTAGGCGGAGAGCTTTGTCATGTACGTTGATTACCATATGCTAACCACCGGGCATCATCACTTTCGTGAGTTAAATAACGATATCCCACTTTTGCTTCTAATTCTCGTAAATCACACCATGTTTGATAATCCTTACAAAGAATATAATTAATAATTCATAATTTTCAAATTGTTTTATGATTATAAAATTACTTACCTGGAGCCATACATGTTGTAAACTTTTATCTACAGTATAACGTTTTCTTTGTTTTACTTGTAATAGGTTATTGATTAAATCAATAGCTGCAAAAAGGTCATAAATCGTGTTTATTTTGTAGTTAGATGAGTATTAAATAAGATTATTTTATTTTAATCATTTGCATACCATCTGATGAGATTTCTCGCCAAGGGATAGGTGGATACATGAAAGCAGCATTTTGAATTTGTTCATTAATATCTTCTTCTTCATTGAATGGAAATGTACCACTCAAAGAAACATAAATAATTACACCAACACTCCACATATCTAAAGATCGATTATAACCTTTGTTTCTTAAAACTTCAGGTGCCAGATATGCGGGAGTACCAACAACACTTCTTCTGAAACTTTTCTCTCCTATGATTCTCGCAAAACCGAAGTCGCACAGTTTTACTTGTGTAAACTCGTTATCGCTACTTAGCAGCACATTTTCAGGTTTTAAATCACAATGTACTATATTTTTGCTATGTAAATGTTTTAATGCTACTAATATTTGTGTGATTAAGAATTTAGTTACTCTTTCGCTAAGACGGCTACGTTCCGAACTTAGTATCATTTCCAGCATATCACCTTTCAATTTTTCCATAACTACAAATATTCGTTCCGGGGTTTCGAACATCCGTTCCAGATTAACAACTCCACTATGTGAAAGATTCTGGAGTATAGCAACTTCATTTTTCAGCTGTGCTTCTTGTTTTGTAGGAAAACGAAACTTATCAATAACTTTTATGGCAACTGCTCGACCACTTTTACGATGAACACCTCCATAGACTGTACCAAATTGTCCAGAACCTAAAACTTCATCTGGAAAAATCTCATATAACTGAGACATATCTGTAATATTTTCTTCAGGTTCTGTAGACTGTTCTGAACCTGAAATCGCGATATACATTAATTATATTTTTTTATTCTGGTAACATACTTAATAAATGAAAAAAATATTTTTTTTATACCAAACAATAAATAGGGAAATATATACATACTAGTTGATACAGTAGTTACAGGCATAAGTGCTTGTCTAATACTAGTTTCCCATGACCTAGCAACATGTGCTCCAATACCACTTTCTGGTGGAGGAACTTGGCTACAATTATCTGCATATGAAGGATCTTCTCCAACATAATAATCAACATTGGCAGTTTTTAACTCAAAACAATGCATAGTATCTGGAACATAATTAATGTTTTTCATGTCATTAATACAACAAACAAAATTTCAATACAATAATATTAAAGTACATACGTGAACGAGATGCAGTTTCAATAGACAATATTTCAACCAATGGAATTTCTTTATAATATTTAGAACTATTTTCATTTTGAAATAATGTTATAGCTTTTGTATCAAGTCGCCAATAATGTTTTTTTCGCTGTAATTTTTCAAATTCAATCTTAATAACATATCTTTAACATAATTATTCCTATATGTAAATGTATTTATATGTGTCAATAATTTACCAGTGGATCACGACTTGTAAAATGTACCATCCAACCCTCTTTTAATACCTTCGAACCACGTCGTTTTGTATGCTTAACACTTTGCACTATACGCATTAAAGGAATATTATTGCTTGGTGTAGAACTGCAACTAATATAATGGAAGTAAATATGATAAAAAGTGAATTTAAATACATATTTACATTGGTCAATAATTAAATTTATAATTTACCTTGATGGTCTGGATTTTTGAAATTCGTCATAAGTAATATCATCATTGCATGGAACTTGATCCTACAAAAATAATCTATATAAATATTATTTATTATAAAACATCTTACGAAATTAATATTCTTATTAGCTGCATTATTGAAAATATTCCCGTTTATTTGATATTCTCTATCATAAAAGTATGTTTACAGTGTATTCATCAGATGCTTCTGTTTCATCTACTACAAAAAAACAATGTTGAGGGGGTGAAGGAGATTCAGCGTCACTATCGCCATCGCCTTCTTCATTTCTACCGTCACATTTTCCTTCTGGCTCACTACCAACACCACTATCAGGATATTCATTACCTATATAAACATTTTTATTAAAATAATTCACATAAAGAAAAACTAAATAATGAAATACAAATAAAAAGAACCTGTATTGTCTCGTGGATTTTCTCCTGTACAGTCTTTAGGTATTTTTTCTATACATTTTTTATGTGCATTGTATTGACAATCTTTGCACTGTAGGCCTTGTTTAAATAAACCTCGTAGTAATTTTTTACAGTATCCACATACAGTTGGCCTAGTATAAGTATGTATTACAAATGTATGTGGAATTTTTATACGTGTTGCAAGTTCTCTTTCAACCCATACTGGTCTTCCTCCCAATGAAGGAGAGCGAGATTGTTTTGGAGCCATTATACTTGGTATTGTCTAAATATATGATGCAATAAAACACTATAGGATATGGAAATACATAAACTATATATTTCATTTTGTATAAAATTTTACCAATGTACTATTATTTTGACTTGCATTCGGTGTATTATTTGTACTATGGTTGTCATCACTAATGCTGGTCAAACTACTGGTAGATCCTTGACTTGGAGATCTTGGTACATTCAACATTGCAGAACTACGCCGTCTTTGACTGGCATCATGTGAGCAATTATTAGGTATTTTTATAACACATCTTTTATGGTAATTCATTCCACAACCTATAAAGTAAAATGCATTAATTATATTTTACCACTCCAAATTACTGAAATAATAATATCATTATACTTACCTTCACATTTTAGACCTTGTCGAACCAGACCAAATAACATTTCACCACAAAAATCACAAAATGTTGGAACTTTATATGAATGAACAGTTAAAGCATGGGGACGAATGGGAACTTCTTCATTTGGCACTTGTGCTGAAAAAATAAAGTAAACTATGTAATATATAGTCTATATAAATTCAAAATTTACCAGTTAGAACAATTTCAACTAATGTTTCATCAACAACTTCAGTTGCATTTGTAATAAGTTGTAAGATATTAGTGGAATTATAATCATGCTTAAATAAAAGCAATCGTTCAAATAAATGATTTAAACCATGTTCTGGACACTTGGTATTTATAAAGTCACAAGCAAATTCCTTAAGTGTTTTAAGAGTTAATGTACTGCCTTCAACTGTGACAATATCACGAGTTAAACCAAACTGAAATAAGAATGTTACTTCTGGTCCCTCCATATTAACTG